GNNNGNNCTAACCTAGCAACAAAAGACAACTAACCTAGCAGCAAGAAAGAAATAACCTAGCAACAAAAGACAACTAACCTAGCAGCAAGAAAGAAATAATCTAGCAACAAAAGACAACTAACCTAGCAGCAAGAAAGAAATAACCTAGCAACAAAAGACTATCAGACACCCATCTAACCTATGCTCTCACTTCTCTCTACAATTCTCTCTCTAGGATTTACACTTTTCCCGGTTAACCCCACCCAACACCGCTCCTCCCCCTCGGCCACCACCACCGCTTAGTCGTCTCTTCCGGCCGCCGCCGTCGGCGGCCGGCCCGGTCCGCCGCCGCTCGCAGCCATGGCCTCACCAACATTTCCAGTTCCCGCGGTCACGCCTCTTCCCCTCCAAGATCCAGAAATTCACATGACGGATCTTCTCAAATTGTTACAACTCCCAGATTTTAGGCAAGTTATCGCGACATACTTGCGCTCAAAATCTCTCTTGGAAGAAGGAGAAATCACTTTCGTGCCCGACCATTTGTACGAGTCTCAGCTATCATTCCTCAAGAATATTGAAATAAAAAAAAATGAAAATATAAAAGAGCCTCAAACTGCCGTAAATCCCTCAGCAAATTTCATGGCAGACACAGTGGAGAAGACGACTTCACCAGTCGATCTCACCACAACTCACAACACCGTCGCAGAGGTGGAAAATCTCAATCTCGCTCAGTTCAATTTCTTCGAGTCACAGAAAACACAAATCAAGAAAAACGGGAATAAGAATAAATATCCTAAGGACTTTCAACCAGTCGACCGTCCTTCAGCGGCGCCCACGGCGGAAAAAGCTCAGGGCGAAACTCCGATGGCCGTGACTCAGGGTGAAACTTCGATGGCCGTGACTCATTCAGCAGCGCTCACGGCAGAAAAAGCTCAGGGAGAAAGGCAGCCGCAGGTCTCTGTGTCATTCGGCTCGTCACTGAAAATAGCCTATCCGGAGAAGAGGCTCCCCGCCGCCACGTTGACCGGTCAGCCCACCATCTCTCATCCTCAACCTTTGAACGATGGCCACTTGGTAGGGTTTGGAGAATTTGAGGCCAATCCTCACTCCAGCAGAAATCCCTTAAGCCAAAATGGCCTTTTGGGTCGGACCCCTTCCCCTCTCCCCGAGCCCAAATCACAAAGTAATACAAAACCACATAATGGGCCCTCTTCCTCAAACACTTCTACCCTCTCTCAGCCCAAAACTCATCCCGCTACCTCAGGCCCTATCACCAACTCTCAACATATCACAAAGCCCACACCCCAAACAGCACCCTAAACTACATCCCAGGCCATCTCTCGTCCTGGTACCTCCCAGCCCAAAAACCACCATTTGACCGCGCCTTCCCAGCTCATCCTTCAGGACAACGGCCGTCATAGGAACGCCACCTCCGTCAACCTTCTTCCGACAGGCGATGCTCATCCTCACGCCGGCGCCAACTCCGGCGATGCTCCGGTCACCGAAATTTCATATTCGGCCGGCACCTTATCCGGAGAATTTCCGGAATTGTCTTTTTCGGCCGGAATTCTTGGTCCTCGGCCCAAATCACCTCCTCCGACCACAAAAATTGATGGAGTTCCCACCGCTAATACCGAAAATCCCGAACCGGCTGGTTTGAGTTTTAGGGAAGATGATGTGATGGTTGGGAGCCAAAGCACGACGACCGCGTTTCATGTTACCGAACCTCCCATGATCGGGACATCGTCCACGGGCACCGCCACGGCAAACCCCGCTGCAGCCGGGTCCCATCCGACCACCTCCACAGGCCCACCTTCCTTCCGAGAAGCCATCACGGGGAAGAAAAATGGCGACATGGGCGCCCCTAGTCCGTCTCCAAAGGATTTTACCTTTGACGGGAACTACGAGCATGCTTGCGGGACCATTATCCGCTCGGAGGAGAACAAAGTCAAGGCCCGATTCACCGACGCCGAATCTGTCGCTCTCGCAGGTAAACTTGATAACACCCTGGTATTTAAGTTTTCATATGCTATCCCCGCCCCTCGAGATATATCTGCTGGATTAAGGAAATTGGGTTTTAAGGGTAGTGTTTCATCGAAGTGGTTTAACTTTAACCACCTGTAGTGTCTTTCCACCTCACTGAGGATTATAACGAGGTCTGGCTCACGAGCTATCCCCGCACCCCGAGATATATCTGCTGGGTTAGGTAAACTGGGCCTTAAGGGTAGAGTGTCGTGAAAGTGGTACAATTTCAACCACCTTCTAGTATCTTTCTACCTTCCCGAGGATTATAACGAGGTCTGGCTTAAGACCTCGATTCATTTGTGTGGATGCCCAGCTAGGGTGTTCAAATACTATGTCGGGTTTAACCCGAAGACGGAGGCACCGATTGTCCCCGTCTGGTGCCGTCTTCCCGGCCTCCCACCCCACCTCTACGACCGCGCTGCCATCACTACACTTGCTAAGTGTATCGGGCAGCCGATTCGTATCGATGCCCACACGGCCCTTCAGACGAGGGCTAAAGTGGCGCGATTCTGTGTTGAGATAGATCTCAGAGCGGAGCTCGTTCATGAGATCGAAATTGAGCAGGGCTCAGAGTCCTTTCTTCAGCGGGTGATATACGAAAAGATCCCCGCGTTCTGCACATTGTGCAGCCATGTGGGTCACATTGCGGCCGATTGCTACATTAGTGGCAATAAGCCACGACCCACGCTTCCGCAGCGCCATCGCGCTGCTCAGCCAGGGCCCTCCACCGGCAGAAGGGACCCCAAGGGAAAGGGCAAAAGCCCTATCCGTACGCCCGAGACCCCGAAGGGGTCTAAGGACAAGGGCAAGGCTGTGTTTGACGCCACTGCCCAAACTGGGAAGGACGCTCATCCTAACCAGCCTAAGCAGTCGGCCATAGTGGGGCCAAAGCCCAAGTCCACGGGCTTTCTCCCGAGACAGACCATCCAGACGGCCTTCAAGGCCAATCACTCGTACTTTGCCGTCCTCTCCCCTCAGGCAGAGGATGAGGACGTTCCGTCCACTAGTCACCATCCTAAGATTTCTGACCTTGCGCTCCTTGACGACGATGATCTTCTGGTCGACGATATGGACCAGCCGAAGGCCTCGACCAGGGGTGAGTCCATCCATTTGTCCGATGACAGTGCACGCGACGCAGACCCTCAGACCGTGCGTGCATCCAGTCCGGACCGCGGCCCTCTAGATTTGAGGGCTAGTGCCTCCACCGCTCCCCCGAAAGGGGATCAGTCGGTCCCTCCTCTCTCCCCGGAGATTAGGACCACGGCTGAGCATATAGCCAGCCCCCACCCTTCCTCTGGAGGCGAGCACATGACTGCCCCGCCGGCTGGACATCCTCTTTCTCCCATCCCCGAGCAGGCATGCGGTCTTAACCGCGCTCAGCATGACGTCTCCTGCGAGAGCTTCGCGTCTAGTGCCTTTGTGCACCATGACAGACAGGAGACAGCCCCGGATATGGGGCAAGCCGCTAGTGTCGCTCTTGGTCAGATTGCCCAGCCAGACGACACACAGGCCACGAGCGCCATCCGAGGCAGGCAGTATACGAGGACCAGAGCCTCACAGCGCACGCTGCGGCGGACTGCCTCCCCTGCTATTGGATCATTTCGACGTCGCCCTGCTTTACGCAGCGCGACTCAGCCTCGCCACAGGCGGACTATGTCCAGTGGCTCTCGCGACAGTTGATATGTCAGTCACGTCCATTACTTGGAATGGCCGTGGCCTGGCGAACAGGGCTACCCTCTCTCACCTCCATTCTCTGATTCGTGACCACAGACTCGATTTTGTTGGCTTCATTGAGCCAATGATTCGCAACCCTTCGCTTGACTACTACTCGCGTCGCCTTGGTTTTCACTCGGGCGTCGGTAATATGTCGCATAAGATCTTCTTCTTTCACTCGCGTGATTACACTTGTCGGGTCCTCCGTGACACCGATCAGGTGCTTCACGTTGAGCTCTCCGCTGCCCACCTCCCGGAGCCCATCTATCACACCTTGGTTTATGCCAAGTGTACTAGGGTCGGGCGATATGATCTTTGGGACACCCTGCGTGAGATTGCCGAGA